GGGTTCAGTCTCCAATTTTTTTTTTTTTTTTTTTTATTTTGTGTACTTTTTTTTAATTGACTGTTAAGATGTTTGTTATCTTTTTTCTTTTTCCTTTCATTTTTTTTTTTTCATTTGTTGTTTACGTAATTCCCTTCTTGTCCACTGAGCTGGCTCAACAATCAAGAGGTTAACAGGAAGAGACGGAAGGGATGAGCAGTCTAGGCAGGTAGAACACTATCACAGACCACATATATATATATATACCTCAAATACCTCCAGTTACTGTTTCCTTGGAGTTTTTTTTTTCTTATTTTTTTTCTGCCATTGTTCAATCTTTTTTCATAATTTTCCTTTTCAATCACACCATTTTCTCAACATTTTTTTTATTTTGACAAGAATCTTTTGTTTTCGTTAAATTTATTTTTTATTTTCACTTCTGTTACTTTGAAGTGAGATCCTCGGAATTTTCAGTTCTTCAATTGGTCATAGAACGGACTAATCATAATCAAACTTAATTTATTTGCTTAATTTTTATAATTTTGATAATCAGCTTATTATCATTATCAGTGATCAATTTTATTTTACTCATTACTTATCTATTTTTGTATTTCCTTTTGCTAAATAAAACGTTTTTTAACCTTATTCCAATCATTAGTTTTCTTATTAATATTATTAGACAGAGATTTAGATTTCTGGAAGCTGTTAATAATTTATTAAATCATTATCTGCAGTGTAAACCATAGTAGGTTTGCCAGGAATGAGCAATAATAATATATTGGAATATAACCAAAAAGTGGAAACATGTTCAGCTTACATAAGTAAATAGTAGTTTTGTTGATCCCTTTAAAATTGTTGTAAAAAAAGAAAATAAATGAAAATAAATAAAAATAATTTATAACAACATATTCTTTAAATGTCACATTGTTTTCTTTTTCTGGGGGTGGGAGAAAAATGATTAAAAAAATTATAAATAAATAAAATCCTCACAAACATTAACAAACATTAAATGCAAATGCAAAATTTTAAATTCTTTTTTTCACTTTTACCTTTTTTTTTTTTTTTTTAAAAAAAAAAGAAAAAAAAAAGGAATTTTAAAAACATTTTGTATTTTGCTTTTTGTTTTGTTTTTGTATTTTTTTTTTTCAAATAGACCAACAATATAAAAAAAACCAAGAAACATAACTGGTAAGTATTTAAATAAGTAAGTGATCATAGAATCAACAAAGAGATATTTAAAAATAATAGATTTGAAAAATTTAACACAAGACCAGGGAATCTGGAAGGGGAAAGGGGGATTATTTAAAGTATATAATAATAATAATAATACCTGACACAATGAAGAATAAAATTCACCTTCAGCAAGTACTGTACACATGAAAGAGAGTTGATCTAATCAGTGTTTTTTTTTTTTTTCTTTCAATGTAGGGGAATATTAGCTGGGCCTTGGTTTGGATTTGCGATGAAGGGAATCATTTTTAGGGAATATGGAAAGTTGGGAGTTGGATTAGGGAAAGAAAAGCACTTTTTAAGCATTTCTTAGGAACATGGCAGGACAGGGAGAATGGCTTAGGGATGGTGGGGCAGATATGGGAGTGTTTGTTTTTTTCAAGTTTTTTTTTTTTTTTTTTGCTTGATGTTGCTGTTTCAATTTTTTTTTCTAAATATACACTACAAAATCATCACAATTATGACTAATTTTTTTTTTGCTGATATTTTGGAATATTTTTTTTCTTTTTTTTAATTTTTTTTCTTTTTTTAACACATTATTAAAACAACTCATTCAGAATCAGTCTGATCTTCACTCAGTCAAAGCAATCAGTAGAGCATGAATGGTGTTTCTGTTTGTTTTATTTACCTTATTGTCCGAAAAATTATTTGTCTTAACCATAACATTTTATATTTATTTCCATGTGCATTTTTCACCTTACCTTAGTCCTTTTTTATTCAAACTTAATTTAACCTTATGTAGCCTTAACTTGCCTTATCATTTCTAATAACCTTATACCTTATCAATTCTTTAAGCTAACCTTAACACTTTTAAGGCAGACAGTAAGGCTCTGCCTAGATCACCACTGTCAATTAGTCAACCACTGTTTCAAGATAAATACTTTTCTTTCAAATTTCTTGGCATTATTACAGATTTTAGAGTAAACAGAGGTTTTTACAGGGTTAATGAAAAAATCTCTGTCTACTGGAATAAATATCATAGAATTTTTCTTCTTAATACAGTAAAGATAATTGATCAATTTTCCAAGAATTTGACTTAAAAAAACCGAAAAATTAATTTTTAAAATAATTTTTCTTATATTCATAATCGTATGACATGCTTTAAAATTGTTTTTTTTTGTAAATCTCTTAATACTTTAAGAAAGTTTCTTTTTGCATTAAACAAGTTTGATATGCATTTTTAATAAAATTTTAAACACTTTTTTTTACTGATTGTATCCTTTGTTATTAATCAGTGCATACAACTTAGAATTTAAGAAATACTGCATACAACTAATAATAAGAATTGGCGCTTGTATATAATATATGGCACGTACACAATTTTTCAATTCTTATAACATACACAATGTCCTTGTCAAAAGGTATGAACACTTTTTCAAAGATTTTTTTTTTTTAAGGATTTACATTTTCATACCTTAAGTCAAGGAATACAGAATTTTTATGGCATGTATCAAATTTGATAAAACATATAATTTATACATATCAAACTTTTTCACATTTTGAATACCTTTTTGTAATGCCATATTTATACATATTGAAATACTAAATATTTTTTTTAGTTTTATATATATAACTTTTTAAAGATTATTTTTTTTTTAAGACGACAGGCCTCTTATGGATGTTATACAATATGAAACACACATTGTTGCTTTCCTTCTAGAATGTATGACATACATAAGACAAGTTATTTGAATTATGGCATAAACAATTAGACATTGCAGGCCTTTTCACAGTGTACCAGTCTAACACACTGCTGTACTGCATGACATACAAATTGAATAAAAGTTCATTGTTTCCACATATTTTTTTAATATATTTTTCTTTTTTATATAGATTTCATATTTTACAAAGTTTTAGCGAGACATTCAATTCAAATCTCCTGCTCGGGACTTATCCCTAAGTTGGCTCTTTGGTTCTTTACTGCGTTCTACCAATTCACTTCCTTAGTTCGATTTCAGTAGATTTTATATATATAAATATATATATATATGTACTTGTAAGTACCATGAGAATTTATTATAATTATTAATAGTTAATATAAACTTATTATTTATTACTCTAAATAAAGACCGTAATTTAATTCATACATTTTTACATATTAGGATTTCTCTAAATTTATTCTGCTACTAGAATTTCATATTTCTTTATCTATGATTTTATGGTCAGCTTTTATTTTATTCCTAATATTTTGACCATTTTTAATTTATTAGAATTCTTTAATTTCATTATGGATTTTTTCTTTCTATTTTAGTTAATTGATTTTAATTTTCTTTACCTTTGCCACTATATTTTAACTTAATTTTAATTTGTAATTTTTTTTACAAGTCCTACAATCTAATTTGGTTTTTAAATTTCATTTTTCTATTTAAAAATGTATCATTGGAAACATTTTTTCCTATTCTTCAAATCTTAAACTTATTCAATAATTTAAATTAAAAAACATATTTTTTAAACTGATTTTCGTATGTAGTGGAATTCACCAAGTATAAATTTGACTAGTTGATGCAAAACTTCTCTTCTTTTGGTTACTGAAATTAAAGCCCTTTCTAAATTGCCAACCCAAACCTCTCTTTTGAGAAGTGTTTGGGTTAAAGCAATTATCCTTTGGCTATTTCCAAAGTTGTGTCCTTAGATCGAGGGCCAAAACTGATGAAGGAACTGGTAGATGATACAGTCACTGATCTTTACTGATGCCTTAATTTTTTTCAGGCACCTCCTGTAGCGTGTGCCATTGTGCAATTGGCCGACGAGGATTGGCTAACATATCACTCCAATGACGCAGTTCAGTACCAGTTGAATTACAACCCAGGAAGGTTCGTCCGATTGGTTCAGAAGTCCCAATGCGATCATAGTCGACCACCGTGATATAGAGGGATACTTTCTGTGAAGTGAAAAGAATTTAAAAAAAAGAAAGAAAAATTAAAATTTATTAGAAAAAAAAAAAACAAGACAAAAATCATATTTATTTAGAGTTTTCAGGAAAAAAATTTCTGAAGACATATATGGCTTAAACCAGTGGTTCCCAAACTTTTTATTTCTCTGGTCCACATTTTTTAAATGAAAATTTGCTCACACGTCACCAAATTTTATATGATAAAAAGTACATTTAAAAATTAAAAAAAAAAAATAGAGAGAAATTTAAGGGGAGATAACCACAGATTCAAGTCAGAACTTTATAACTGATAACTCTCTTCTCCAATTCGTGGACCCTCGTTACTATATTCTTAATACTTGATATAAAGCAAAAATGTCACAATGATAAAATCAGTCAATAACTATTTATACTGGGATTCATGCATGTAATTACAAGTAATCCATAATAATAATTTAATTTTGAAATCATTTTTATTTTTGGCATATGAAGTTTTTGAAACTGTTTCTAGATCTTTGATTGTCTTTCAATCATTCCACCTTACCTGCTATCCTCTTCCACTGCACCTATGAGGTGCACCGTACCATTTCGGAACCACTGGCTTAAACTATGTTTGATGGTTATAAAATTTCATACGGTCCTCAGATAAATGTCTTGTCATCAGACAGAGCTAACTTTAAATTAAAATATTTTAAAACAATTCCTAATAGTAAAAATAATTTTAAAATAATTTCAAACATTTAAACAGTGGTTGTTGGAATTTTACATACCCAGGAATACATTAGACCATTAATCTCCTCCTCCTAAGAAATAGGATGGTAGGGGATTAATAAGTTATAGACAGAAATTTATAATTAATACCAGAATTTTTATAAACCTATAATGTCAGATTTTTATAAGCCTATAATACTTAACTTTTTAGAAAACTATAATTAATACTGGATTTTATGGAAACTATTAATGGATTGATGTGATGAAATATTGCAGTAATATACCTTGACACAGCAAGAAACTTCTGTAATCAATCTTTTACATATTCCTCACCAATGATTCTTCACCTTCTCTTCTTCAGCACCCACTTCTCATATATTTTCACAGGCTGGCACCTACGTCTTAAAATTACACTACTAAATGGAGCAGAATTAATCTGGTAAAGTTAATGTTTTTATGTTTTGTTGTATTAAGCTCATTTACTGTGACATCATCACATTCCTTTTGGGACCATGATCATTCATAAGTTCCTGAAATATTTTCAAAGTTAGTTTTCATCTTGATTGTCTGTGCAGTCTAGAAAACTAATGGCAATGTGTGAATTAAAATGAAAATATCTATATGCTTATTCTGAAATAGTTGTTGGCAATCTTTAGTTATCGTATTCTAAAAAAAACAAAAAAAAAACTGTGTGTCAAAAGGACGGTTTTCCCTTAACACTGCTATTATTTTAACTACCTTCACTCCTCAGTAATGTTTTTTTTTTGAAAAGTGAAGATTAGAATTTTAATAAAACCTAAACATATGAAATTGAATTTATACATTTTCTTTGTTCTCGAGAACTGACAACAAAAATAATAAACACTATTTATTTATTATATTATTTATTGAAATGGTTAGTAAAACATTGCCTAATTGCCAATTGATCTGAACTTTATAAAATGGTAAATGAAAAGGATTTCCTTATAGTTGGTTCACATATTTTAATAATTTACCAAATGCTTATAAATTTATGTTCCCAAAAATTGTTTTCATATTTATTCATTTATAAATATAGCATTTCATTAATTTTAATACAATTGTATTAAATATTAGAATGTTGTAATTATTTTTGTAAATAAACAATCTAATAAATTAAATAATAAATTAATGTTTAATATATGTTTTGTAAATTCTTAGAGAACAAAGAAAATGTATAAATTCACTTTCATACATTTAGGTTTCATTACAATTTTAATAATCCCTTTTTAAAACAATAAACATTGCCAAGGAGTGGAGGTATTTAAAATAATAGCAGTGTCAAGGGAAAAACAGTCCTTTTGACAAACCATTTTTTTGCAGGCACAAAGGTTAATGATTGCCCAATTGTTTTAAGCAACAATTATTTTGCATAATGGTAAAAGATATGCTTAATATAAGTTGTTACTTTTGTACAATGACAGCTTGAAGTATTTTGAGTTTTCATTTACAGTGTGTATTTTAGTTATCATCTACTAATATTTGTTTTAATGTTAATACTTTGGTTGTTTGTAATGTGTTGATCAATATGTGTATGAATTGTATTAAGTTTTAATAAAGCTATGGAATACTATGATTGCCAATATCCTGAAGGAATATGGCATAAAGAGAAAGAGAGAGAGATTGAGCTGCTTATTGCCTTTCTTATTTTTATGATACTCAAACAATTTGTAATGTTTTATGACTGCCCTTTTGTTAAATTTAATTTCAGTAATTTTTTAATTCCAATTTTGTTCTATTGTCATAAATTAAAAAAAAAAAATTCTGCTACTTTGGTTTCTCATGATTAAGATATTTTCTAGTGTATTTATTTATTCAATTAATTTTGGGTGAAAATTGTAAAATTTTATTTGGATTTTTACTTCCATTCAAATTAGCTACTTTACATTTTTTTTTAATGTATATATTTTTTTCAGTCTACCATTTTATGTTGAGAATTTTTTCTTATGTTTTCTCTTTCTCCCTTTTGTTTTATATTTTTGTTTATATTTATATATACTTTTAAAATGTCTGTTGTTGAAGCTTTAATAAAACTTCCTTCAAATTGTTTTCCATTTTAAAATGCAAATAAAATGTTCTTTAAGTGCATACTTCATGATACAATTTCTTGAATCTGTAAAAAATCAAGTCTAATCATAGAACATGGTGATTAAATAAGAAAAAAATAATATGAAATATAAAAAAAACCTGTCATAACTATTTCATAAGGAAACAAGATAAAAAAAGGAAATGATAAATTAGATATAATAGGGTTTGAACCCAAAATTTTTTGGCACAATTTGGCCAATTTTTATGGTTATAAGGATAGCATTATGATTGTACCTGTATTTGTTCGAACGGGACTTCAAACGTGAATGACTCATTGTAGTATGGATTCAGTGTGCACTTCTTGATAGTGGTTTTCTTCTTCTTAATTCTCTTGCCATTTAGCATCAACGATATCTTAACATAAGGATCTGCAAGGAAAAAAAGGAAAGAAAAAATATAAGACTTAGGGGTTAAATAAGTAATTGAATGACTTGTTTTGAGAAAAATGAAAAAAAAAAAAATCCTGAAAAAGAAATCAAACACCATAGTTAAAAAAACCAGGTAATTTTGTTTATGTCTGAATTTCTGGGATGAGGAGTTATTATTATGATATTTGTATTTGGACTAGTATCCTTATTTTTGTTGTTATTATCCACTGATCGCCTTCTGCCAGAATTTGAGTAAAAAAAAAGTTAACAAAAACATAATAGCTACAAATAACTGCATTTGGATCCACAATTATTTCTACTCAATAGCCTTTAGAATATTTTGAAACATAACCATTTCTGCCCACCCATTAACCATTAGAATAATACAATATACCTTCTACCCACAATGCACCACTGACCAGTATATAAATAGCCAAGCCAAAACACAATACCTGAAGATTGTGTTTAAACATGAAACAGTCACTGCAGTGTGCTAACCTCAATGTCCACTTTATATATAAAAAAAAACAAGGAGATTTTTTTCTTTAACAATGCATTTCTTCCCCTGAAGGAAAAGATAAATGTAGAGATTTTATAAATGCTGTTGTTGCTGAATTTTTATTTATATATTTATTTTTAATGCAATTATTATTAATTATTTTATTTCATTTTGATAAATTATTTATATATTTATTTATCTTAGATAATTAAAGGTCTTGAGTTAAACATTTTCTTTTAATTTTTAAAAATTTCTATGGTCATATTGGCTTAAGAAAGGAAATATTGGGTGTAAGTTAACATTTTTACAAGAATCAATAATTGCACTCTCAAGAACTTTTCATCTAAGTTAATTTCTCTTTTAATAAGTGCAGCATAGTTAAGATCGATGGTACATTTTATTTGGCACTAAATTACATCACTTAGCAACCTCCATAGTTTACCTTTACTTAAACAGTTCACTTTTGAAATAATTTAGATTTTTATTATATATTTTATTTGAAAACTTAACAGTATTTATCCTCCAATTTACTTCTGTTTATAAATACAGGTTGTAAAATAAAATCTCATTATTTACCTTGATAAAGTACCTCAGGGGACTAAACATGTTAAGAAGATTTCCTTTCATCTTTATTTGTCTTGTCTTTAATGATATTTTTTATTTATATCTGAATTCTGACATTTAAGATTTTATAGTGCATAGCTATGCTCCCTGATCTCTAGAAAATGTTATTTCTTATTCATATTTATTTATTCACTTTAAACAAACTTTCTATTTACCTGCAAGAAAACAAAGTATATATTCACAGTCTAATTATTTTACAAAAGAAGAGATTTTTCATGTTTAGATTTTGTTAAATATAAACCAAAATAACAATAAAAGAATTTAATTTTCTCTTTAAATTCTAACTGAAAAAATTAAAATTAATTTACCTGATAGTCCACCAACATCCATTTTCTTTAGATTTTTAGCCTCAAGGATGACAACGGTCAGTTTACCAGCAGTTGGAACATATCGCAATGAGAAACAAATGTCACCCAGCTTGTTCTCCTGTAAAGATGAAAAATAATATAATTTTTGAAACATATTTAATAAGTAAAAATACAAACACTGTTATTCCCTCTGGCTTTTTTTTTTATCAAGGTTTCAAGTCCAAAGTGTAGTTTTGTTCAATTTGAAAATAGTTTTCTCCATTTGAATTAAGTGCATGATAATAAAATCCTCCAAGTTGTACCTTCTGTGGCAAAGTGAAAGTATTGAATATTGTTGTATAAACTTGTTGTGATGGATTTTATAATCTGAAAAAAACCTTGGTATTGTAACTGTTATTTTCTTTATGATAGTATATTATATTGCTATTCACACACTTACCTGGTTTTTTGTAGAGTAGAGGTTTATCCCTTGTTTCCTGTTTAGGATTGGGTTTCCAGTCCCTTTAAAGTCTACTTCCACTCTATACTTCTAACGTCTTCGCCTAAACTCTGAAGTTTTTTTTCCTCAATATGATAAGATAGGTTTGCTTATCACCCAGTTCACACACTTCTCCGGTCTTTTAAACAGGAGTAGAGGTTTATCCCTTGTTTCCTGTTTAGGATTGGGTTTCCAGTTTCTTCCAAAATCTACTTCAACTCTATGCTCCTATCATCTCTGACTGAGCTCTGACTAATTATTTATTTATTTTCTTTTCTCCCAGTAAGAGTGGATAGGTTTGCTGATCATCTGCTTCACACTCCTCCCAGCATTTTGAACAGGAATAAATATTTATTCCTTGTTTCCTAGGAATGGGTTTCCAGTTTTTTCTAAAGTCCCCAAATGAACTCTGAAATGTTATTCACTAATTAAATCTTAACCTCTTTAAGTCTAGATTTAGCTGTTACTTTTCTGAATAGCTCCAAGAACTTTACTTCAGGCTCTTTCTTATGCTCGTACAACTCCACATATTTACCCTCTACTTTGTGGCTCTTGGGCCTTGTATTGTGTGAACATTAGTAAAAAATAAATTATCTTAGTGTTGGGGCGCACCCACCTTCTAACTAGAAATGGACTGGTCCCTCTTATATAAGTCAGCTCTAGAGAGAGGACGGGAGAGAGAGAGAGCGTCAGCAGTCCAGATAAGGTTACTCGTTACATACCGTTGGACTATAGACTTTGGATATTGTTTCGTACTAACCAACCTTCGTTCTACTAATCACTCTATTTGTTAATTGCTTTTACAAATATACCAGTATTTTCCTCTACAACTGTGTTTGTCTTGATTCATACACCGACACGCGGGAAACTCACAACATCTCAACACTTAGCTGGCTGATTTTCGTATACATTTGTTTCCTTTACATCAAATAGTAAAAACTTCTTGCTTTTATTTCTCACTCCTATTTACAACTGATTTTGTTGACTGTTGCATAATGAGGCTCTCAAACAAGAAGGAGTAGGATATCACAGTAATAGTGAAAGTATGTGCGTACCCTGTAACCCATTAGGGTTATAGAGGCACTACATTTACTGCAGCCTTTGCAGCAGTGGTGTGTCTAGGGCAAAATAACATGACAGAGCCAAACCCTCTTTAGGTTAGTTTTGAATTAAGAGTTTTCCTCCTTCTAGAGTGGATGCTACCTCAAGACAAAAGAGCCCAGTCTGACCTCCTATTTAACCCATAGCTGGAGAAAGATGGATTCATGCCTTTTCCAAGGGAATTAGTGTGAAGTGAACAAAACAGAAATGAGTGGAAATTGAACTTAGCATGCCAATTTCACTTTCCATGTCAATAACCATTACACTACCTGAACCTTTAATAGTGAATGTATGCAATATTAAAGGAAGAGATTTTTTGTTTGGTTTTGCTTGAAAATATTGTTTACTTCATTTCAGATGGGTGTTTAATAGTGAGGATAATATTTATCTGTCTCTTTACAAGAGCAGAATTGACATATGGTTATTTTTAGTGTTAGAAGAACCATAAACTTATTTTTATTCATCCAGAAATTATTTCTCTTGGTTATTTCTGCAGACATCAGTGTATACTTCTGAATTTTCTCCTTTCCACTACAATAGGGAGTTGTTATTTGAGGGAACAGATTTTTGGTCAACAGTTATTTTACACTTTCAACAAAACATCTGATATCTTAATCCACAGGCCTCTTCTTAAACAATTCATAAAAAGTCCCCCAAGACTCTATCCTTGGAGCTAATTTGTTTCTAATTTTTATCAATAACCTTTCCAATGTCATCACTTCTTGACTTGGTATCTATACCAATGACACAACTATTTACTCCTGTTTTAATGGTAAGTCTGATAGGTTTGATAGTCAAATTAGCAGCTGATATCAAACATAACCTTCATCCTATTGTTAACTGGCTTCTTAATTTTAATGCCTCTAAAATGAAACTGTTCTCTTTTAATCATCTTGCAGAAATTTTTTTGCCTTCCATCATTATGGCTGATGCTAACCTCCAGTAGAGTAACTCATTGCACCTTATCAGTGTAACATTTTCCACTGATATGAACTGAAATGATTATAGCATGTCAATTGTTATGTAAGGATACAGAAGGTGCTTATCTCCCTCTGGTGGAGATAAGTTATGTGGGTCACATAATGGCTGCTTAATGATATCACTCCATACAGTGCTGAAAGTGCCAGGCATTTTTCAGTCTGTTTTCAGCAGCCAAAGTGAAAGGTTGCTTTTGTTTAACCTGGGCACTCCATGGCTCGGATAGAAGCTCCCCTGCAGCTTACAAGTCCAGGGTGCCATTTCCTTTTGGTAATATATCTTTCCCAGATATAGAATGAAACTCTAGCTCACAGTCCTCAATGTGGGAAAAAGCAATACTCACCATGTCCTGTTTGTGGAATATATCCTCACCTGGGACATAGATGAATTTGGCCCATTTGAATCTGGAGTCCTAAAAATGGTTTCTCCAGATACAGGAATATCTCCATATAAATGCAAGACCCTTCCTATTTGTTTCTCTTTACACTTTGCTGTGTAGATATATGTGATATATTTTTCTCTGTATGGAATACATTTATATATGTACTGGCTGAATTACCCGCATCTTGCTGCATGTTTAAAATGTTTTTGTAAGAAAATGATCATTCCTTTTAAATCATTGTTATAATTTATGGAGAAAAATGATGCATTTCACTATTACTCAATGATCTTGCCGATGCAAATTCTATCTTCTGGCTTTCATCTTCTATATTTTGGATAGGAGTCATTTTCAAATTTAAATTTAATTTAAATCAAAGGGGAAATAAATTAATGTGGGGGTTGCTAAAAAAGCTTGATCTGACCCCTTTGATATGTATTTGATGCAATACTTGATTGAATGAACTGATGAGCAGATTTCAACATTGATATAGCAGTTGAATTGTTACAATAAATATGTATTGTAAGGCACTACCCACTGATTGGTGATTTTTTGCTCAACTTGTCATCTATATTTTCTCATTTTGATCTTGTTGATGTGATCTCCATCTTCTGGCTTTCTCCTTCTATATTTTGGACAGGAGTCATTCACTTGTTCAAATTTAAATTTAATTTAAATTAAAGGGAAACAAATTTCGGGGGAGGGGCAGGGGCATTTGATCAAAATGAAATATACTTATCCAAGTACCCTAGGAGTCATTCCCTTGTTCAAATTTAAATTTAATTTAAACCAAAGGGAAAAAATAATGCAGCAGTGATTTGTTCTCCTCCAGGAATCCACTTTGATCAAAGTAGTTTCAGAATATATATGGTTATGGGGGTCTATCTCCAAAACCCTAGGAGGAGTTCAATAACAAACAAACAGACAGACAGAAGCTATAACTTTATATATATATATATATATAGTTTTGTTCATGAATTAATAATATAAAAGTCTCTCTGAGAACAAAGTAGGTTTGTCATTCTTTTTCCTTTCAGCCATTCCATTCCATCTGTAAAATATTGGTGTTATTATATCATGAATATAATAATACTAATAATGAGGAAAATACAAATAGGTGAATAAATCTGTCTTCCCTAGCTCTTTCCTGTTACAGTTAAGTCTGCTACTTGGTAAGTTGGTTCACTGTGACAATTTTTCTTGCTTGAATCTATCTTGTATCTTTATAAGTTTACCATTTCTCTCTATATTGAATATTGTTGCCACATCTAGCGTAGCATTTCTGCCATGTATCTAGATATTCTTGACAAAGAAGAATCTGCAATTTTATTGGTCCTGATCTGGGATCTTGGTTTCAATCACTTTCCCACTATTGTTACATAGCGTCCATGTGCCTTTCTTATAAATATTTTCATGGTAATTGTTCTGATGAGATTTTCTCTTCCTCACCCATGGGACATTATTCCAGCTTTTTGCAATTATGATCTTCAAAAATTTAAATGATGTCAATCATCATCATCTGTCATTTTGAATCTTGTTCTCTTATTGTTCTTTCTACTTAATGATGTTTTATCAGATTCCTTCATTCTCAGTAACCTGTTGTGTTTTAATCACTTTGCTTGGAGTGAAATGATAAAAAAAAGGTTTAATGTGTTTACAACAATTTCTGGAAATAATCTTCAACTGTTTCTAAATTTAAGTTTTCATCTTACAAGCTTTTAAATCTTTCTAACATACAAAATAAGAAATCAGCAGAATTTTATAAAAGAAAAATATAGATTGTTTTATATTTGCTAATAGTAGGCTTGCCAGTAAAAATAGCAGAAAACTAAAAGTGATCTTGGTAATATAGAGTAAAGAATAGAAAGAATTCCATTTGAAAGTTTAACTTGTATGGATTGAAGACTAACATTGTACAGCAAATGACTGTTATTCACTCAGCACAAATATAACAATAAAAATTACCCAGATTGGTAGGCTTTCTTAAAAGTTTTAACTAAAACTTTAAACATGTGCTGAAAGTCATCAAAAGTTTAATCATATGACAAAAGTCATCAAAATTCATTATATGTTGAAAGTTATCAAAAGCCTTAATCATATGACAAAAGTCATCAAAATTCATTATATGTTGAAAATCATGAAAAGTTTCAATTGTATGTTGAAAATCAGTAAATAATGTTTTTTTTAAGCAATTCACCCCAAACAAGGCAGGAGTGCCACTAGCACACAAGGGGGTACAGAGGATTGAGAACAAGAGTAAAGAGGTATGTTTGAGGAAAGGATACAGAGAAGGACGGGGAACAAGATCAAGGTGTCAGAAGATGTCGATTGACATTACACTTGAATATTTGAAGATTATAGCTATCAGGGAAGCAAGTAAGAGGAAGGGAGTTCCACAGACAGGAAGTATGAGAGAAGAAGCTGTTTGAGTAGAATAGACGGTTACATTTAACCATTTCAACAGTGAAAGGGTAGGACCGAAATGCCAGCCTAGTAGCTCGCTTAAATTCATGCAGTCTGGGAACCAGCTAAAGTAGCTCGTCAGAACAGTTGCCATGAAAAAAGAGACAGAGGGAAACCATGGCATGTCTGTGAGAAAGCAACTGTAGATGAGATGCCAGATCAGGACCTATTGCATTGCATATTCATCTCTGGATTTTGTCGAGGATTTCAAGATGTACAGCAGGAGAACCAGACCATATATGACAGCAATATTCCATGCAAGGAATAAAAAATATGTCATATTTTTTATACATGATGAAATGAATATTAAAAATGATATAATTGAGAAATAAGAAAATTCTGAAAAATATAAATATAAGCAATAAACAAAACTATGGAGAAGTTAAAATGATTAAGTATTAATATCTTAGATGATATCCAGTTTATGTGAATTTTGATTGTTTCTGAAACATATGAAAATATATCATAAGAATATTAGAGTTTATACCTTATTCTTTACTGAAATCATCAAACTTTTCTACACACTTTAATTATCTAATCAGATATTACAAAATGTTATTCACAGTTATCCCAATTTGTTAGATATGACATGATGTGAATGCAAAATATATTAATACTACTGATTATATCTTTTCTACAAGTTAAAACTCATATTTTGGATAGGAAATGTCTTAAGTCATATATGATATTACAAAATTTTACTTCTGCTGGGCTGAAAGAAAATTGGTAATAAATTAAAAGGGAATGAGTATTGTACCTTCTCAGCATCATTATCCGGGCTAGTTAGATCTCTCCACTCTTCTATGACCGATCCAAGATCTATTGAGTTCATTGCCACTTGGACTTGACCAATTTGGTCATGTTTCGAAAAGCGATCAAAGTCGTAGATCGCAAACACAAGTGTCTTACCCGTAATATCAGCATAGGGAACGTTCTGAAAGAAGAGAAAATAAAATACTAAAATGGAAAGAATAAAATTAACAATAAATATTTATCTTTGAATAAAAAAGGCTAATTATGCCTTCAACCTACACAAACATATCTAACCTCTCAACTTTGAAAATTGGCACAATAATGTCTTCTGGCTCTTATTTCATATTTTCTAGTCTTACTCCATACTCAGCAGAAATTAGGAAATATTGAGATTTTCAACATGGACAGTATTTATTAGTGCAATTATACACATTAGCTTAATGGTGACCTTTGAACTCATATTAATTTATTCCCCAAATAAAGCATAAATATATCAGTTAAAAGTTCTTTTGATTTAAGCATAAATAAAAACAATTTTTTTATTTGTTTTTGACATCTTTATAAATAGATTTACCATTTTTTATTATTATTTCTTTACTGTCTTTCATGTAATTTCTCAATTCTATAGAGACACAACTTTTACCAAAACTTCCCAGTGAAATAGTAAAAATTATTGCTTGGTCACCAAAGAAATATATAATGTTATCCTGATGGAATATTATACCATTTTTGGTAACTAATTCTGTAAAATTTTTACCAACTGATAATTGTTTAGAATAATGCATGCTGATATGACAGTTGCCACAATAAAATTAAAAAACAAGTAAAAGTAAACAATCTTAATGCCATTTAATGACAAATGCAGGACATTTTTTTTCCAATATAATACTTAATAAGACTTTTTGATTCTGCTTGGCTGGTTATATGTTTTGCTGGGGTTTTCATTTTCATAACTTCTGCTATATTTCTGATGACCTACTGTTTCTTCTCTAAACAACATTCCTTTTGTCATCATCAAAAATGCTACTTTGGTTTTGTTTTTTTTTAAAAAAACCTCCTATATTTCTCATTCTTTAATTATCTGAGTTATATTTAAAAAAGATGTTTCTTTTTGAAAAATAAATGATCTACTTTTACAAACTACATATTTTTTATAACTTTCTACTAGAGTTGCTATATTCATTTATCATATTTATCAGGCTTACCTTAAAAGTGAACGATTCATTAAATACTGGGTTGAGTGTTTTCCGATGGACTTTTGTCTCAAATTTCTTCTTTTTGTCGGGCATTAGATAGACTTTGACATATGGGTCAGATGTCCCAGACATATCCATCCCTGGTAGGTCGGCAGCCTGTATCACGTTGACTGTTAGCTGAAATATAAAAGAAACAAAATGATTGAAAAATGGTCTTTGCACACTGAAATTTTTAAATAGAATCTAGGTATGGTTGAAAAGTGGAATATGTTGCATTTTTTTTATAATGAAAAGACATGCAACACTATTTCACACACATATATATATATATATATATATATATATATATATATATATATATATATATATATATATATTGTCATCCACAGACAGACTGTTTCACTGTATTACAGCTCTTCAGTATAGATAGACATCTAACTGCTTGGAGCCGGGATTGAAACCCAACCAATTTGGTATCAGTCAGAGATTCTACTCCTAGGCTACACACACACACATTATTTAAATAATGAGTATTTTACTTTTTGTAAATACTACAATGCTTTCGCTATACACTGATGTGTGTTGAAATCCTCACAGTTTTTAGTACTGCTGAAGTTATCGGTAACATTTTTTGTTGACATTTTAAACTCTATGTTTCATTCAATTTCACAAACCAAACGATGAAATTTGAATAAGCTGATTTGTTTGGAAAATACTTTTACAAAATCCTACTTTGCAGTTTAATAATTTCTTTAATTCAATTTAATTTTATAGGACTTCATGTTAAACAATATTTTTTAAGAAAATTTATTTTTTTCTTTTACATTTTTAACTTAATAACTTACCTTTAATAAATTCTTAGGATTTCTTACTCTTGTGCATGCAACATACAACTGGCTATGCATAAATATTTCTTTCTGGAGCCAAATTCCAACTTTTTGAAACGTTTGGCCTTGTTACTTGTTTATAGTTCTTGCAAATGCAGGGTGAACTAGAAACTGAATTCCTGCATATTTAAAAACTTTAAAAGACATGCAAAAAACAATATTGCATTTTTTTTTTAAATAAGTGTTTGTTATTTTAATCACTAAATTATTTTTAAATTGTTGGAGTATTTTGTATGTTAAATAAAACTTTTAATATATATATCTTAGTGGCGTAGCTAGTGGAGGTGGTGGTCTGCATTGGGTGGCACTTTTGATGGTGAGTTTTCAAAAAAGAAAAAAACAATAGCATAATTTTTGCAAAAAAAGCAGCAATAAGGAAGAAGATACGGTTCAAATGAAGTCAATTCGTCTTTGATATGGCTGGCTCAAAGCCAGCCAGCAATGAAAAAATTTCTCCAAAACATGTGCAGCCAGCTGGTAGGGATAAATCCCACTTACAAGCAAAAGATATGAAAAATTTTTCAACATTTTTAAAGGGCTTGATGTGGGGTTAGATTAAGTGAATTTAGAGAATCCACAGTTTTTTCACACCTTTATGAGAAGTTCAGATTTTAGTGTAAGTTCTTTGATTTTGATTTTTCAAGTCTGTGAACTGTTAGTGAAAAAAATTAAATAAGTGAACCAAATTTTTTTTTTTTCATCTTATCACGGGCCTAGCTTTAATACAGATATAAAATCATTGCTTTTCATAAATTATAAAATAGATAAACAAATTGAAATAATTCTAATGGTTTAAGGCTATCACATGCATTTCAATTTTTTCTGGAAATATCAAATAGAAATTTAAAAGAAAATTGAAAATTAACATTTTTTTTTCAAGTGCAGAAACTTTATTTTAAACCCAAAAATGCACATTTTTTTTCAATTTTTCAATTTACAAGTTTTCATGGTATTAACACAATTCAATGTTTTTGTTTAGATAGTTGAAGTTTCATTATATATATATATAATACTGCACAACGAGTACTGGTGGTAATAAATCAATACTCAATGTAAAATAACAGAGCAAAAGTTTATACTAATAACAAATATATATTTGATCAGTTTTCAATTTGTGGAGTTTGTAAAGAATTTTTTTATTTATAATATATATATATATATATATATATATATATATATATATATATATATATATATAAAAATTTTATTTTAATACATATCTATTATAAATAATAATTAAAACACAGTTATAATATAACTTTATATAATAAATTTGCATTTGTTCAGATGAGCTTTCATTTTTGATACCTCATCTTTATGAATTTAAGCACAGTACTAGATTGGCAGATAGGTCTAATAATTATTCTATTGCAACTGCTAGATGTAACCGTAAGCTCTATGCTAATAGCTTATTTTCCCACACTTCTTACTTTGAGAACTCTCTTCCAGTTTCTTGCTTTCCTGTCAAATACAATCTTAAAAAAGTTAAATGAAATGACAATTATCATTTTCTGTCTCTTTGAATTCTGTCCTTTTATTGTCCTCTCTGTTTCTTTCACTTTCAGTAACCTCTTGCATCTTAGCGGTTTTTATTGCCTTGTAAGGGGTGAAATGATTACAAAAAATAATAGATATAATTTTGAATGTAGGCATGCATTATATAGATTGCCATTTTCCCCCTCTTTTATTTTTCTCTCTTTTTAATATTAAATTGTAAATTGTATTTTAGTCATATTTTGCTCCTTTACTCCCAGTTTGTCTATCATTCCGTGATTCTCATTAACATTTTACTAGTTACCAACAATTCTTCTGATGAGGCACTGACTGAAAAAAGGTTACCTTTTAGGGAAAAAATATTCAGTCTGTTGAAAACTACAAGTTCTGTGGTATCAGATATTTATATATATCACCCACAGACAGACTGTTTCACTGTATCACAGCTCATATATATATATATACTTTAAAAAAAAAAAAATAAGAGCTCAGTTGAATCCACTACCTTGGTTTCAACCTTACAGTATCTTTAGGTGATTTTTATCAACTGAACTCCCAATGTTTCATTTAAAAAAACAAAAAACTAATGAATGTTATATTATTTTTAAAATATGAATAAACAAACACATGACATTGGGTGTGATAAAAAGGGAGGAGGAGGATATGAAGAAAGAAGGAGAAGGAGAAGGGGGAAGAGAATAAAAGTAATGATATTATAAATATATCGGTGGGTGGGGTTAACTGAAATATATTTTTTTTTTTATCCAGCCTCATATGTGCTTAAGAGGCATTTTTTAATATGTTTGCAAGGATTCATGACTTTGGATTTCTAGTTCAAAAGGTTCTTTTAGGATATAATAAGGTTGAAACCAAGGTAGCACATTCAACTGAGCTCTTAATTTTTAAAGTATATATATATATATATATATATATATATATATATATATATATATATATATATAAATGTAGATTTGGTTAAAACCAACAGTAAGTAATATTATTGTCCAGTATCAGAATTATCAAAGACTTTTTATTTCTTGTGTTACATGAATTTAATCATTTTATTCTTAAGATATCTCATCATTACATATTGTTTCACTATTTTATTGTCGCATTTTACATCTTGGTTCCTGTTGGTGTGCCATGAAACAAATATCTTTGAAACTCATTTTATTCAGGCATTCATTACTTTCCATTGACACATTTGATAGACCAGTTTAAAGTATATATGACTTTCGAAAATCAATATATCTGATCAGTAGTCATAATACTGTGCAGAAATTGCCATGGGTCTACCATTTGACTTCTTATAATCCCACCCCAAAGCATCACACCACCTTCACCTTGTTGATGTCTCAACATGTGAGGGCAGTTTCTGCCAATAGCTCCCAAGGCTTTGCCCCATCCATCTGGTTCATTAAGCATAGCATGGCATCTGTCAGTGAAAAGAATGAAAAATTGGTTTTCATGTATTTTATGCCAATTTTATTCAATCCCCCTTATGAATGTCTTTCAGAGATAGCCTAGTGATTGGTTTCATCTGTTTGTAACTTTATTTAGGACCCAACATCTTGGGCTTTTTGACATTTCCTTGTTGCTACAATGTCTAAAAGTTTCCTATCTTCACAAAGATGGGTGTTTTGTTAATTTCTCTTTTGATATGGGACAAAGGTTGGTGAGATAAAAATAATCAGCTTGTACTTATCACATCTGCATTTGAGTTTCCCATTTTCCTTTTATAATTTGGTCTCCTCACAGATGAAGAAGAGACTTGAAGCAACAAAAATATGATTCTAAAGAAGGATTCTGAGAATACCATGGACTGAACATGTGATCAATGACAAAGTTTTAGAGAAAATAGAAACAAAAAGGACACTTATACTTAACATCAGAAAGAGTGTTGAAATTTCTAGGGTACATGATGAGGAAAGAGGGATGGAAAATTTGATACTCACAGGACATATTGAAGGCAAGAAGGACAAAAGAAAACAATGTATAACCTAGCTGGTGAGCTTCAGTAAATGGATGATGGAGCAAAGTTTAAGAAGGATAACAAAATGATGAAATTTATTAAGAGCTACAAAGGACAGGAAATTGTGGAGAGTCATGACTGCCTACATCCTGAATGGACATGGCACATAGAAAAAGAAGAACATAACTGCTGAAATGTTTTAAAATTTTCAGTGATGTTTTACCTGTCACAATTTTTGAAATTATTAAACATTTCTTTTTATTTGTCAAATGATATTTATGATTCATTTTAAAGCTTCAAACTCAGTGTGGCTTTAATTTCAGAATTTGAAATTGAAGACATTTCATAAAAATAGCGCTACCATTTGTTTACGTCTGTGCAGAATAAATTTTCTCTATATTAGACCGAAATAAAACCTTTAGATTTCATTAAGTATTTGATAAAACAAAGTGGCTAATCATGTGAGATGCAGTGTATGCAAATCATATATGTATGATGGCTGTGACTCGATTTCAAGCAATGCCATTGTAAGATTCATCTCCACATATAGGAAGTGTGGATGTTTCTTTTTCATCTTGTTATGGTCTTACATTCCCTTGCACAGATGTGGCAATATTGGATGACTTTTGCAATAGTTGGTACATTAATATTTTGGTTAACTTACATTCTCCTCAACTTAATATCTTCACTGACTATTAGACTTTGGCTTTAAAAAAAATAACAAATGCTTAAGTATGACTATATTAATACCGACCTTTATTTGGATTAAGATCTCTTTTATAAAATTAATGTGAATCAACCTGATTTGTCCTGTCTAAAACAGTAGTGGTCAATGAAAAAGACAACCCAATATTAAAATATCAAAAGTATAGGGTAAATTCTTGGGTAGGTAAACTGACTACTACTAACCACTAACCCATTTACCCATCCCTTCTCTCTCTCACCTTCCCTCCCCACCACCAATCTAATGTGTCCATCCACTGTACATTCTTCATTTGTGGAGGAGATTTAATTCTGATGAGTTGAACTTATCGGTGTTACAAAATAAAAATTATAAACAAAATGGATAATTAAAACCTTTGTCTTATTATTATCATTATAATTCTCTGTAGTCTACATTAACCCTTCCTGGATTTATATCCTACTCGGAATTATCCCTTCCAGTCACAAAGTGGCAAAACATATATATATATATATATATATATATATATATATATATATATATATATATATATATATATATAATATTATATGAAAAGATTACTTAACTTTTAAATATCAATTTTATCCTGACTTCAAAGTTTCTTGGTACAATTTCCAGTTTTCATGAATTATGGTTTTAAACAGTATTTAAAAGTAATCTTTTCTTCATATACTATTAATAATGCTCTATTTTTAATAGTATCTGTCTATATTTCTGAGAAGAGGTATTATGTACACTATTTACATTATTCAGACTATTGTCCTCATCTTTGTCACCATATTTATTACAAAATTTAACTGAGATAACTGATAACTGACATCCATTAAAACATGGCACGTGGAATTAGAACAGTCTAACCCAGTGAACGAAATAAAGTATTCACTTCGACATTCAAATCACCTGAAGAAGGCCGGAGCGTACAACAGCTGAAACATTGTAATAAATATGGCAACAAAGATGAGGACAATAGTCTGAATAATGTAAATAGTGTTTTAATAGTATTTTAATATTTTTGATATTGAGCACTATATATAAAAATATCTGCTGTTACTGCTGTTTCTTAAATCATATATATATATATATATATATATATAAACATCAATAGGTATATGATCCAAGTGAATCCTAATAAAATAAAATATTAAAACTGATCCCCAATCCTTGATGTATTTATTAAAACTTTCTTATCATCTAACCTTCCTAAATTTTCCTTACTCACCCTTTACTATTAATTTTTTTTCACCCAGTAACCTTTGCTGTTGTGATGACTATTTCTATTGTCTTTAATATTATCTTTTTATTATTATTATTATTGTTATTATTATTATTATTCCCTTTCTACTTGTGATTTTACTATAAGGTTTCCCTACAATTTATTCATTTTTATTAGTATTTAAATTAAATTTATTTAGTTTTTCACTCTAATTGTTACTTTATACTTACACTTTAATATTTGTCATACTTCTCTTTATTTTTAGTATTATTAATTTATTTAAATTTTTAAAAACTGTTTAATTTTTTAAAACTTTCTTTATTTTTTATTTTTATTTTAATATTTAACAATTTCACCCTTTTTTTTCTTATAATTTGTTTATATATTATATAATAATAGTATTATACAATAATATAATATAATAATAATATAATTTATTTAATAATGATAATAAAATAATATAATAATAATATCATTTATTATAATATATTAATAATGTAATAATGTTATTTGCTGTGTTGATAATAATATTTAATATTATTTGATGCTGTAAATTTATTTGATATAATAGGGTTATTTAATAATTTTTTGATGAGTTTATAATGTAATAATATTATTTAATATGATAAGCTGTGTATTGATGTTTGATATAATATGTGGTAGTGACGTGTGATAGATTGATGTAGAACACATTTTTTCATATAAGGACATATGATATAATGGTTTTATAATAGGGTAGTATTATTTAATATAATATGGTAGTGTCATTTAATATGTATAATCTTTATATTTTTAATTGTAGTTGTGAAAATGAAAGCACTTACTCTTCTTTAAGTGTTGGTTTTTTAATATAAAATAAAAAATTTTCTCTGATACTTCATTTTTATTTCCTTATGAATGATCATAGTTTTATTAATATAAATTAATATATGTTCTTTTTAATGGAGAATATAATTAATACATTTCCTAAATCCTAAAAAGTAAAAAATTAAAACATATATGTTTTTTAATATATAAATAATTTTTAAATAATTTATAATTTTTCTTTTTAATATATATAATAATATCCTTCAATATTAAAAACAATAGTGAATTTGTTAATAAATAAATCTTCCTCTCAGTTCTTACATCTAATTACTTGATAGTAGCATGAGGTGATTATTCCTATATGAGTCAAGGTCACATCAACATGTGTCTATCTCCTGTTATCATCCCCATGTCTAGACATCACTGCTCATCCACTTACTTTCTTCTTTTTTTCTTGTTTTTTCACTATTTCCTTTTTTCTGTTTTTTTCTTTCTTTTCCCACTGCCTTATTTTATGATTTGCTTTAGGATTTCATTTTATTTTAGCTTATCTTTTACCTAGAAAGGTTTGAAAATCCTTGCAGATTTTGTAAGGTGAAATGATCATCATCATGGAGTAGTTTTAAATTTCTGTGAATGTAATTATATATATATATATATATATATATATATACACATACATACATACACACACATATTAAATAACGTGAATTTAGGCAGCAAGAATTCTTTCAAATATGTTTGATTGAAAATTGACAAACCGCCAACCTATTAAAACACACATAAATATACAGTTTGACCGTTATAAATGATATCCCTTTGAGTAACTTGAAATTGGCTCCAGCAAACAAGGTGAATGCTGGAATTAACCAGAAAATATACAGAAAAAACAATCCTTGCAAATTAATGTAGCAACATTCAAAAGTATTCAGTAAAAAAGAGCTTTGGTAAATTTACCAATTATATAAAACAACTAATTCAAAAATTTGAAAACGTTAATATATATTTATATACACATACACATATTTAAAACAAGCATTTTTCTTTTGTACTTTATCAGTTCCAAGATCATTTACCAGAAGTTTCAAAACTTTTGCGTTCATAGAAATACACTTTAAAGGTAATTTTGTTTTGTGACATGTTACTAAAGTTTTTTTTAATCAAGCCAAATATATAATTCAAAATGTATATATAAAGAAATAATTCAATTAAAAATCTCGTTAATAATGAATGAAAGAATGGGTAATTACATTGCAGCATGTCTGCAACACACTAATTTGAAGAGCTCTGCCTTATATTGTCTTAAAAAGAAAATAATCACTTTATTTTTATTTAAATATCTCATTAGACCTATATAAACTTATTTTATGAAAATTTACCAACTTGGTTTGTGTTCTTGGTGTTACTTTTACATGTGAAATACAGGTTGGGAATTCAAACTTTTCAGTCTCTTCTCAACATGCTTACATCAAAGTCTTATTCATTTTCATTTCAAAAAAATCTCTTCTTTTTAAATAAGCAAAGAATTACTTATGGCCAGTTACATTTTTTTTTTTTTTTAAGCATTTCACCCCAAGCAAGGCGGGAAGCCACTAGGACGCAAGGGGTTACAGAAAATAGGAAGATCAGATAGGAGTGATAGAAGAAAGGATGAGGGTAGTAGATAGATTAAGGCAACTGGAGATGTCGATTGACATTACACTTGAATAGCTGGAGATTATATCTTAGTAAGAATAAACAAAATGAAACTTACCTCGCCTTTCTGAAAATCGTAGTCCATAGAATATTGAAGTTTCCCTAATTTTACTTCGGATTTTGTACTTTCGGCATCTTCATTGTCTTCCATGTTCATTGGCAGTTCCTCCAAGTCAGGCTGCACCTTCGCAAAAGCAACAATATGTGCAGTTCCAAAGGGACAAGTAATATGGGTTGATAATAATCGGGAGCCAAATAGAAAAAGAACAAAAGCTAAAGTTAGATGATGAAACACGAATCATTCACTAGAGACAAACACATGCGGCTCAGTGGTGGGAGATTGAGCAAGGAGGTCTGAAGGACACAAGGTTTGAGTTTAGGGCTGAAGGAGAAGTTTGTAGGTAGCAAAGGGATGTCTTTTTGTTTGTTTGTTTTAAGGAATTCTTGAAACAGATCAGTGGAAATTGTTTCATTTCATGTTTTATATGACTTTTTGTATCTTAGGAGCTGTTGTTGTAGTAGTTGTAGTTGTTGCTGGTGTTGGTACTTTAGTTTGAGAAATGTAGGAGAAGACGAGGAAGTAGAGATTTTGGTGAAAAGAGAAGAAATCTTTCTCAAGAAGAAGAATGATCTTGCGGAAGGACTTGTAGATGAATCATCTATCTTTCTATTTTGAAAGCTATAACAGAAGTAAAAGTATCCCTACCTATATGCAGATTCTTGTAGTTGAAATTAACAAATTTCATTTTTTTAACAGCTACCTTGTATGAAATTTAAATGTCAGCAGGTTTATTTTTCTGTTAAATTATTAGAAACATATTTTAAATGAAGCATTTTAATTTTTTCACTTATTGAATCTTTCCTTTATACATGTTTCCTTGAATGTGATGGCAAAGGAAATTTTATAAGTTTTTTTTTATTCAGTTTTTCTAGTGTCCTTACAGTTTATGAGGACTAAGAGATAATGATATATAAATTTTTATATATCAAGAACAGTTTTGGAGGAAAGATATATAACAAAGTGGAAAAAATTTCTGTGGGATGCGTTTCATTCCTTAAGACCTCATCAGGCTAGATTTGTTTATGATGATGCAACTATACATGTGCACGAATGAGAGATGCTTGGAATTTTCAATTTTGAAAATATCTTTGAAAAAAATTGTTTTTTTTTTTTTTAAATAATGTGTTTTGGGTATATTTAATCTAGCCAATTTCAATTAAATTCTTCTTGTTTTCATCATCTTTGTTATTAAATATCCCACATTGTTTTTCAAAAATATTTTCGAAAATTTAAAATTTGCAGCATATATTCATGTGCATAAGTAGTTGCATTAACATAAGCAAACCTAGTCTGATGAAGTCCTAAGGAACGAAATGTATCACATGAAAATTTTTTCCACTTTGTCATATATATATATATATATATATATATATATATATATATATATATATATATATTATCCAGTTATGTGCCATGCATGGTACATACGTAGGTGATCATGTATCTTTCAATACATGACTGACGAGGCAGATTTTTTCCCTGCAGTATGTTGCCATTTCTTTCTGCAGTGGACCAGTTGCTATCCAAGGCTATAGACCCTGGTCTGTCCAGCTATTTACCCTTAGCTGGTGGGAGAAGAAGAGGATTCATACCTTTCCCAAGAGTATTAGCACATAAGTAAATGTAATGGATTCGACTGGAATTCAAACTCTGCTCTCTGATTCTTCAATCTGAGCTGCTATCCATTATGCCACCATGCCTCCCGGTATGTGTCACTAAATATGTATTATAAAATCTTCGAGGCACAGTGGAGTAATGGATAGTGGCTCGGATTGAGGAATCAGAGATCCGAATTCCAGTAGAATCCATAACATTTACTTACGTGCTAATACCCTTGGGAAAGATATGAATCCTCTTCTTCTCCCTCCAGGTTTGGTTAAATAGCAGGAGAGACTGGGTTATATAAGCCTTGGATGGCAACTGGTCTACCGCAGAAAGAAATGGCAACCAACTGCGAGAAAAAAAAACTACCTCGTCAGTCATGTAATGAAAGATACATGATCACCTAAGTGTGTATTATGCATGGCACATAAACCAAACTGACTTTGTAGAAAGGTTGCTATTGGATCTTGATCAGAGTTTAAATGGTTTTACAGTGCAGCTATGAACTCTCATAGAAACAAGTTACCCAACATTAAATATGCATACAGACATGCATCCATAAACACACACATTGTTTCATATATATTTATCTCCATTATGAGGAAATCAATAAACATATTCAGTCAATAAATACATAATTCTGGGAAATGAAAAATATACTTGCATGCATCTGTAGAATAAACAGATATCAGCACTTATTTAATCAGGGGTTTAAACTCTCTCTCTCTCTCTCTTTCACGCATATTTAATCATGAAAGACTGGGAATTAGGTATAAAGATAACACATGCATTGACAAAATTAATTGCATTGGTCTGGAGAGATATATAGATTAGTTAGTAAGTTTGGAAATCTTGGTGCTTCCCAGATGTGGCTTGTGTCATTTTAAGGTAAGTTTAGTAACTATTTATTTCAGTATTCAGAAAAATACATCTGACATCTGTCGTATTCAAACAGTAACAAATACATCTATACTTAATAATGCTAACATCTATATAGACTTTATCATACATATTTAGGGACACACACACAAACAATGCTTTATATTTTCCATAAAATATGAATACTTCAAAATTGCTTTAAAATTCGAACCTATGTCTTTATTTTAACTTGGTATTTATATACAATTGGACACTACTTGGTCTCTTCATATATATATATATATATATATATATGTGTGTGTGTGTGTGTGTGTGTGGAGATACAGTAGTGTAAGTATAGAAATAAATTAGTTAGAACTAAAACACAGATATCAGGACTTTCAATTATATATTTTACTTTGTTCAAAAGTCAGAAAAGTTGTCATTTATTTTTCAGATTCTTCTTGCCTTTTATGGAATTAGCTTTGTGTCTTCTCCTTTTTCCTCTTTTACTTCTCTCTTTTTTTCTCTCTTCCTCACCTTTGCTTCTCATTTTTCTGATAATTTTTCAATATTCACAGGCATCATTTTTAAAGAATTCAGTAGTGAGAGTATTTCCTTTACCCAAAGGTTTTCCTTTAAGTTGTTGGTAATGTTATCAAAATCCTGTGCTTAGACGTATATTTCATAAATTGTTTCAGCATTTTATTTAACTGATTTGTGCAAACTTCATAGCAATTTAATATGTACTTATATTTTTGAAATTATAATTTTGTGTCCTTGAGTTTGATTGATCCTCTAGTTGTTTTGAAATAAAGAATTAGAAATCATTTTTTGCATTCATTCTTTGATTGAGTTGATCAGGTTTGCATCATTGAATGCCATAAACAGCTTCAATTGAGAATTCTTTTGTTTGAAGAATAATGATGATATAGATTTATAACCATACATTGAATTATTCAAACTCACATCCTCATTTTGGTTATTATATGTAGTCACAATGTTTTAGCTGTTTTACCCACTAGCCTTCTTCAACTGAGCGTCATAGATAATAATCCTCTGAGAATTTTTAATACAACACTTTATTCAAACTGCCATTGTTCTCATTTGCTGCCCATGTTAGAAGAAATATAAGGTTTTCCTAATTAATTTGTCCTTGTGATGGTGTTTGTTTTGTCCAATAAACTGAAGTACAGTGTGTGTCATGTTTTTCAAGAACCCATCTTTAGTGGGCCATGAATAGATGATGATGACTTAAGATAATGTGATGTGGCATATACCAAATTTTACCATTCTCATTGCTCTTTCAGATGTCATAAGAGCATTAACATGGGAGCTTACCATCTGACACAGGGATTGAGAAGGCACACTGTGCTCATAGCACTAGCCATCAACATGGCAATAACCTTGAAAATGGTCATGCAAACAGAAATAATGACAGGTGGATCCATGCAGATCTCACAGTGGTACCTACAATAATACATACTGAGTTTATTAATGGGTGTGTGAGACGTAAGTACAGAGAGTCATATCATGACAACTCACTTCTTCCCATATTGCATTAGAGGCAATGCCATCATCTACTTTGAGTTGCTGGACACAGTGATAAAGCTTTGGATCTGGTGGGTAGTTGTACAGATTGACACAAGTCTAATGTATGGAATTGGGTAGACAAAACTGTTTAGAAGCTGATTGTGCTAGCACTAATTCACAAGTCATTGTGACTGAGGGTTTAAGCATGCTGGCATTATTCAACAACTGATTATGCCAGATTATGTGCTGTCTCCAAGAAACTATAACCACTCAGTATAGTTGACGTATAAACTACATGTTAGCTTTGTGGGTGTTAAAGAAACACAAATGGCGCCTGATCAGGTTTCTGTAATAGGAATTAGCTAACCATCCAAGCAAACAAGTATAATCTATAAATGAGTAGCCAGTCATTACATACTGCATTAAAAAAAGATATTTATTTGAATGAAAATGGCACTTCCCAGAATTATAAGCCATAGTACAGTATGTTATTCTTAGATTAACCAGATCACCATGATATGAGCAGTAAAGCTGTAAGTTATAATTTTTATAAATGGACACATGAAAGGCTGACTTGAGTACAAGTTATGTTATTAATAAAATATTAGTGAAGAAAATAAATAAATATTTTCAGTGACTTTCAGAAACAAGTGACTGCTTTATCCATTTGCTTTTATAGTGTGCTTTCTTTTTTTATTTATTAGTATTTCACTCTTTGCTTCTAAAATTCAATCTTGTCTTTTGTTTCATTTCCTTGGGTATGTGTAGATGAGAAACAGAGGGAAAATATTTTTCTGCTGTTTGAAATCAGGTTTCTTCTTCTTTGTAGAAGGGTTGATAAATATTTTCGCCAATGAGATAGAGCCTTGGTCTTGTCAGTCTACTCATCTAGCAGGTTTGAGAGCATTCACAGATCAATTCAAAGATGTGTATTCTTTTAAGTTTTTGGTAATAAGGAAAACAGCAAACCATCTGAATGTGCCATTTTGTTGTTCACATCAGTATTGATATTTATGTTTTCTTTCATTTTTAATCAAGATGCAAATTTGAATGAAAAAAAGTTTTAGATGATTTCCAAAAACTGAAGAAATTTACTCAAACTGTACATTGGTTTTATAATTCACAACATT